GGCGCGGGCACCAACGCGGCCCCGGCGGGCTCGCAGCCAAGCTGTGCCCGGCCCCCGTGGGGTTCCACTGGGAACTGGGGGGCCGAGTGCCTCTCGAGACCTGGGCTGCGCCTTGCCACGTTAGTCAGGGGCTCGTAACAGGACAGGCTGCAGGGAAGCGCCGTCCGAAGTGTCTTACGCTAACGGCTGGGGTGTGGGGGTTTCCCCTCTTTCCTCTCGGAAATAGCGTTAATTTGCAGCGTACAAACTTGCAGGGCGTCCTCACTTGCAGTTGAGGAATCATTTAAGATTACATCTTTAAACCTTCAACACTAAACATAAAAGTCTGATTGCTCTTTTAGTTTGCTTTTGGATGGTAATTTTTTTTGAATCGGTGCTCCTGTATCGTAACCTGTAAAACAGATAAAAAAACTTTAGTTCTGCATGAAGTATTCACAACGTGTATTTTTAGAAGCGCTGCAGACAGAAATGCACTAAATGCCTGCGTTGGCTGTCAGAGCTCTGGTTTTGTTTGTCTCATGCTCTGTTGTGATAGAGATGCCACCTCCCTCTGGAGTTAGCAATGGAGAGACAGCACTGTCAAGGTGAAACAGATTTCTCTTCTGACACTGTAACAGGACTAATTGTCCTTCCAGAGCAGATCAGTGTTGGATCATACACTGTGCTTAATCAGGCCTTGTGTTTGACTGCTTTGGCAATATCTTCTTTGTCCTCTTGTTCTTCTCCACTTCATGTGTGCTTCAGCATATTCAGATTTTGAATGTGGAGTGGGGTGAAACTCAGTTCTGAGGGTTTATAAAACATGGGCCACATCGCAAAAATTGTGCATTCTTGCTGTGAATTGAAGCGTAGAGCGCGTAATCTTGCCTTTTTCACAACAAGTATGTGTCCACATATACTGATGTTGTGGTGAAAGAGAACGTTTGTACTGTAATTAAATAGATATTTGATAAGATATTTCTGTCACTTCACAATAAATGTGGAGAAAACACATACAGGAAAAATTGTGATTATGAAAGAAATAATGAGTACAAATTTCTTTTTGAAATAGAATGGAATTGTCACTTATGTGACCAAAAATGTTACTGTAGCAAAAGGTAAAAGGTCACAGGTAATGAGCCCTTATGGTCTTTGATATAGACTTCCCATTTGAAGTCTGTTATTTAATAAGTAAATATTTAACAATAACTGTGAATGCTGTACATACAATAGACTGTTATATCAACATGCAGCTAACTTCTGCTTCATAGTCAGTAGCCCTCTAAAAGAGCAAACTGCAGAACCCTTCCTTCTGTGTGTGCTGGCCAACTGAGAGCATTTACTCCTCTTGCATTTAAAAATTACAGTGTGTCAGGAATCCCCTGCAATTTCCAGAAAACAGGAGGGCAGCAAATTTAAAAAAAAAAATCTAATCATATTAGTGAAGTTTTTAAATGTTATTGCTAACTTTCCTGTTACTCTACTATCTACTTTTGTAGCCAGAAATAGGTTGTAGTACTTGTTGTTAATGGTAGAAGCCAAGCAGCAAAGAGGCTTGTTATTGTTGTTGAAGTGTTGTGGAAAACATTAGTTTCCTCCTTCGTTAAAAGCAAACTTTCTATACAGCTGTATTTTTTTTTTCCCCTCAAATAGTATGTGTGCATCGAAGAATTTGTGGAGTACAAATTTGTTAAATATTTTTGTCTAACATAGGAAGAAGAGGTGTTTTTGTTCTTTAGCTTGCTCCTTGTGAGGCACGGAACTCTTTGCTTCTGCTTTTTCCAATACCACCGTAATGTGAGGCTGGAATAATCATCCATATAGGGTCCCTTTTTATAAGAATCAGACTGTTGAGACAGGCATTGACTTACCACTTGTGCAGGCACTTAGGAGATAAGGGCAGCACAGAGTCAATGTTTTGCAACACAGTGTAGCAGGAAGAAAAACATTGCTGCATTTTACAGGACAGGGTCTTTGGTACAGTCATTTCATGTCTATTTGCATATTCTTTGAGTATAAGTGATGATGTACCCATACAATTTGAAATATATCCCGTGGGAGTTGGTATCCCTCAATGTTTGTACTTTTTTTTTTCGTTCTGTTTTTATATTTGACTGTGGATCTGCTTCTTAGTTACCACGCTGCATTTTGAAGGACACAGATGCCATTATAGCTAATAAAGTAAAAAAAATAGTTACATGTTATTATTTCCTTATGATGGAATTGTGATGTGATGTTATGGGGACAGGTCTTATGCTTCTTCAGTTAGTGATAAGACTTGTTATGACTTAATGTGAGTAGGATGAAGCCTTTAGCTGTTTTTCAAGAATCTGGTACCTGATTAAGCCTCCTGTGTTATAATACACTGATGCTGGATGGCTGCAGCTTGCTCTGTTGGAATAACAATTGGTTGGCACCATGGACCACACCGTCATATCGCCAGATATGTTGAGTTCTTGGCCACGCAGTTGTTGCCATTCCAAACCCTAAGCCAAGCAGGAAGTTCAAGTTTGGTGTTGAGTTGTAAAATAGAGGGATAACCTACTCCTATTGTACAGCTGACCCAGACTGTAATGGGCCAGTGTTATTGTTACGTTCTGCTGGAATATTTTAGTTCTACGTTATTTTTAGAAACCAAGGTGATTTACTAGGCTAAATGGTTTGCATTTAGTAGTATTAGAAATTAGGGCACCCATTCCAATGAGTATTGAGCTTTATGAAATAGCTGGAAGAAACAAAAAAAGGGCGGGGGGGAGAATGCTAATATACTTTAATCCAAGAGGGCCCATGACAATAATGTACTAACGTGGTGTAATGCCGCATAGAGTTCTTGCAGATATTTGCATCTGTGCATAAACTGCTCTGTTTTGTAGATATAGTGAAATCAGAGATCGTTATATAATTTTGCTAATGCAAAGCTGGTGAAAACCTTAGTAGAGGAGCTGGTGTGTGCTGTCCTCACAAACAGACCTAGGAGTATAAGCCATGTCTCCATTCCCTGCACAATGCCTGACATTAAATTGTTGTTACGTGATGGAGCTGGGCTACTTTCAGAGAAAATGGTGTGTCTGTAGTTAAGTGTGAAATATAGAAGTTTTCACTGAAAAGCAGACCATAGCATAGCAGGTTGTGACATCAGTCATTTATTTGCGTCTTACAAATAAGATCCTACAATCTTAGGAAAGTCTACCTGAAAAATATACTTGAATGAGAATGGTTCTTCAAAGGTATGTAATTTATCAACTTGTAAAATAGGATTCCATGGTGGCTAAATTAAAATTTAATTTTGCTCTAGAATGGAATATAGTGAAAACTGAAATAATGCTGATCTTGCATCAAGAAAGAATGGGAGTGAAATACTAGTTTGGTTATAGAGCAGCTCTGGTCTTCAGACTGCACAGATTGTTTACATCCTGGTGTGTTACAGGAATAGTTTCATGTTTGCATTTTTTATAAAACTTGTAACAGCTAAAGAGCTGAATTTGATTTGCAATTTAGTAATTAGACTAAACTTTCCTTTTCATGTTTTTGATCTTGCTAGGTTGGCAGCCTCGGTGGTTTGTTTTAGACAATGGGATATTGTCATACTATGATTCACAGGATGATGTTTGCAAAGGCAGCAAAGGAAGTATAAAGATGGCTGTGTGTGAAATAAAAGGTAAGAGTTGATAGATTTCTGCTTGAGGAAATTTTAGCTGCAAGGGAAATAGAAAAGATCACCCAACATACATTTTGTGTCACAAGTTTTTCTTCCTCTATTTTTGTCCAATGTGACTTCTTCATAGTTCACAAGTAATAATGAATGTGAATTATGAAGTGGTGACAAAGAAAAATGTTTTTGATAGAGCTCTGTTTTGAGATTTAGAACTCACCATATATTCATTTTTGTTTTAAATAGTTGTGTGCATGTGGCTTATGCTTGAAGTTACCTTGGCTAGTTATTTAGTTCTACCACTTATCCCTCTTACGACCAGGGTAAGAGACTGATTCATAAATGCTAGTTTTTCAAAAGAGCAGCAGCAGTGACCCAAAAGGGGAGACTTTTATAAACTGGAGATGTTTAGTCTTTTGTTTTCCAGAGTAATTTTTACTTTTGTTACTGTTAGCAGCTGCCCAGGTGCATAGGTGGTGGATGTATTAGAGTTAGTAAGTGAACTGTTTGTGTCAGGCTGTGAGTTTAGCCTTTAGTGTATTCTAAGCTGTAGGTCATCCTCCTTGGCTAATAGCAACGCATTGTCTAACTTGCCATAGCTTTCAACTCTTGACCTCTTTCCAGATACCCGCAGATGACTGGGCTTGTCATGTGGGTACTTGTATATTAAAAAGTGGGACTTCTTATTTTACATGGGCCACCAAGTATGTTTCATATAGTAACTCCTTTTTGTTACTGTTTCCTTGGGGTAGATGAAATCAGTGGTGTAAAGTGGAAGATCCCATTTTTTGTCTGTTCTAGTTGTTCATTTTGCTTGTCATGTTATTCTTTTGGTGAAGGAAAGATAATGGTTGAAGTCTGGATTTGGTGCAGTCTCCTGCATCCATGGCTAGTGGGGAGTGGGTCTGGAGGAACTGTGGTTGATAACGTGCATCTCAGCAGAGTATTCAATGTAGTATTGAATATCATAGACTGTAAACAAAGTCCACCTCAGTTCTTGGTTCTAGCTCTGCAACCTGAAGCCAGATTTCATCTAGAAGGGAGATTATTTCAGTTATTAGCCTATTCCTCTGTAACTACTTGTCCTTGCAACAAAACTCTTCAGTTTGCCATGTTTAGACCAGCTTTGGAATACAACAGTTATTACGGATTCATATGCAGTATATTGTTAATGCAGAAAAGGAACCCCATTGTTCTTGAGTCTGGCCACTGTTCAGTGTCTCGTGTTCCTACCTGCTGACTTGAAGGCATGCTGGGGAGAAGGGCTGAGCTGCTTTGGGCTTTCTGTTATTTAGCAGTGGTACATTATGACTTACTGTATTACTATTGTAATTATAATAATAATTATTACAGTTGGGGTTGTAATAAACATTTTTAATTTTTTTGACAAGTATTTAATACAGAATTGTTACTGAGTTGAGGTTGGTCTTGTTGGTGGTGGTTTTTTTTTTTTTAAATTGTTTTTTTCTCCTTTATCATAAGTTCATGCAACAGACAACACAAGAATGGAGCTAATCATTCCAGGGGAACAGCATTTCTATATGAAAGCAGTTAATGCAGCTGAAAGGCAAAGGTGGCTGGTAGCACTGGGGAGTGCAAAAGCCTGTTTAGCAGATACCAGAACAAAAAAAGAAAAAGGTATGTGTGTTACCTAGAGCATATACAATCTTACCACTTTTTCAAAAGCTTGTTTTCAGATGATAGTGCAAATATTGTGGTAGAAAGTCAGTATTATTATCTTTAAATATAAATTGTAATTATTTCTTGTCATCTATATGGTAAATTCCCCCTTGATGTTTGAATTAGAGGTCACCTTCATTGACCTCTTTTATCTTAAGCAGCTGAAATACCAGCAACTTATTGTCATTACAAGAAGAAACATACTGTTTGTAGGTGTTGTGAAGCCTTTTCATTTCTGCTGTTTTGATTCTTTATAGCTACTACTGTTTTTTCCATAATTTTTCTTTGATGGCTTAGTGTAACCATTTCCAGCTAGTCTGGTGGGCATAAATTTCATCTACTAAATTTTTGCTACATTACATTGCAGCTAAGAAGGATTTCAACTTTATCTTTCCTAGTGATGTGCCCCTTTCTTAATAGTCATTAAATTACCATCAGTTATCCAAAAGTACAAACTTATTGTCTGCTTCAAGTACAGTTCTTGACTCATTGCAGAATCCAGTTTTCCTAAAAATTCACTTAAACTTTCACTTCATTTTGAATTTGATATTAAATTTAAATGAAAAGTGCATAAAAATTAAAATGTGTACTTACATTCTATGCAATAAATTGATATTTCCTTTATTTTTTATAGAAATAAGTGAGACCAATGAATCTCTTAAAACCAAAATGTCCGAACTTCGTCTCTACTGTGATCTTTTAATGCAGCAAGTTCATACAATACAAGAATTTGTTGACCATGATGAGACTCGTTCTCCTCCCAGCATTGAGGTACAGAATTTCTAGTATGCCACTGGAGAACCTAATTATGTAATACACCTCAAGTTTCTGTTGATATCTTATGCCTTTTTCATCTCCCTAATGTTGGGAGATTTAACCTAAGGTCAGTTTTTGAGTGCTTGCGTGTCTATAATACTAACAGGGATTATATGTGCGTAAAGTACCTGGATGATTTAATTGTAACATGCATTAGGGATGCAGTTGTGTTATTGAGTCATTTGGTTAAAAGGCCAAAAGAGCTGCCATATGAGTTATGCAATAATTTGTCTTATGGGCAGAGTAGTTTAAACAGTCTTGTTTGTCCATTCTTTACTTCCTTGTGTAGGAGGGTATTCTGTTTTGTTATCAATGAAAGGTAGTGTTACAGGTATTGGAAACCTGCAGTGTAGATAAGTGTCGCTGAATATGCACAAGTAAAATTATTCTAGTATTTCTTCTTTTGAATGAAAGTTAGTACTGGAAATTATGAATAGCTTCATTCTTTACACTCTTGAGCAGTGTGCTGACAATATTGTTGTCCACTTAGGGCAAAGCAAGGGCTTGATGCTTAGGCACAAAGAGCAAATTGTTGTCAGTTTACAGCAAGGCAAAACTAACGTGCAGGCTCCTTGCTCTGGAGCGGTAAAGCTGTTTGCACGTTCTGCTACAATTCATTTGTTTCACTGAATGATCTTCTGATACCAGGTAGTCAGTTGGAGACAGGCTTTGCAGTAAAAACGTTATGGCATTGTTGGCTGATACCCTAAAGAAATTCAGATGTCAAAGAAATTACAATGCTGTCACATTTGTTTGCTTAAATAGACCTCATTGGAAGGTGTACATTTGATTAAAAAAAATGGGAAATGGAAGCTCTTAGTGGTAAGGAGGGAACTTTGTGTGAGTGGTGGTGGGGGAAAGTTGTACTTGCATCTTTCCTTTTTTTTTTTTCTTGTTTATGCTTGTGCTTTCATTTATTTTCAGAACATGAATGAAGCCTCTTCCTTGCTTAGTGCCACATGTAATACATTTATCACAACACTTGAAGAATGTGTGAAGATTGCTAATGCCAAGTTTAAGCCAGAAATGTTCCAGCTGCCTCACCCTGATCCCTTAGTTTCTCCTGTGTCACCATCACCTGTCCAAATGGTTTAGACATTTTGAAATACTATTTTTTCTAAGTGTCATATTGTTGGTTGGATGGGGGGAAGAATGGCAGAAGACTTATGCTATTGCTATCTGCTGTGATGTCAACAGTTGAAATCTTGACTGTTATGATCAGTACTGGTCCTAAATATGAATCAGTAATTTTCCATTCCCGCTCTTTGTTTGCTAGCCTTCACATGACCAGAGTAATTTATCGTACATGTCAAGACCTGGTAATGAGGTATCTCGTAAATGAATGAGGTTTAACTTTTCCTCAGTTCAACTGTTTGTTTTTTAGAATGCTTGCTGTACACTAATCTTAAAAATTTCATAACCTTGCCTCCTGTTTAAACAGATAAGTGCCTTGTGGCTTGAAGCACTTCAGCAAGATAGCATATCTTTCAGAATATATAATTCAAAGTGTTTGTATTAATCTAACATGCCCTTATTTAACAAAAAGATAAATAATGGTAAAGCTGTTACTTGCATAACTCCTCACTACTGATTATTTCCCTTAGAAGCACAGTGTTTGTGGAATCATCTTAAATGTCTTCTCGATCATCTGTATAGATTCCAAGATGAGCTGTATTGTGGGATTTCATTGTGGGAATCCCTTTCTTTGCACTTGGATCTCTTGTCTCTTTAGCTTCAATTTACTTACAAAGCTGATCATTAGTGATTTAAATTAATAACTTTCTTTGATATGCATAGAGATTTGACAGTGATAGAAGAACAACCACAAGGAATCAAGAGGCAAGATTTGGCTTTATTGTGTAGTGGGGAATTTAAGTGGGCATTTGGTAGAGGAAAAATGTCTTGATATTTCTGTACATCATAGCAATAAACAAATGGCTCTATGAGTAACTTTGGAGCAAGAGAGAATGAATTCTATAGAAACTAGGTAGTATTTTTTTGTAGTAAACTATTTCCTGTTTGAATGCTTCAACCTTTTAATACTGATGGCAATCAATCTGTTTTCATATAGTTAAATCAGATTTTTAACTAAGAATGATTGCTTTTAATTAAAAGATTGCCCACCCTCTTTGTAGAGACTGTAAATAAAGTAAAAATTAATGTAGGTATGCATATTATTCTTATAAGTAGCTTGTGACATTTTTGGTGTGGTTTGTTTGTGTGTTTGTTTTGTTTTTTGGTTTTTTTTTTTTCCCCCCCTCCCTAGATGAAACGTTCCATTAGCCACCCTGGTCCTTGCAGTTCAGAAAGGTAACTTTCTATTTCATTAAGTTTTTTTTCTTATGTCTCAAAAAACCTCCCTGAACCTGTTAGCATTAAAATCAAAATGCGAGAAGAATTGTTTGCTTGGGGGGGAAAAAAATTGAACAGCATGAATTGATCTAAGTTGGAAAACTAAGGGTGCAGATTATCAGTGTTGGTGGCAAATAATGCAGCTGCTGTCTCTAATACACTATAAAATTTCTTCATGCTAGAAGTGTTATGCAAATGACTTATTCTGACAAGTTCATGAAATTAGATGTAGAGCTTAAAACACTAACTTTTTGGGTCAGTATTTCAGATTCTCAAATTATTTTCTTCTGCATGCAAAGATTATATGACACTTTTGTTTCCATTTTTCAGGCTTTATATTTGTGAAAATTAAGAATGTTCTCTTGACTGTGCCATTTTTAGTTTAGTATAGTGAAAAACATTGATACTAACAGTTTAATCTAAGCACCAAAATCAAAGTATATTAAGTTTTTGTGCGTTGCTACAGATTTTGCTTACTAATAGTTCTCATTTATTTTGTAGGAATAATCACTCTGTAAAAGAACCAATTTCTTCCCTTCACCGATTTTCACAGCGGCGGCGAAGAACGTACTCAGATACAGAATCTTACAGTGATGCTCCCTTTGAAGATTCTCAGAGTAAGTTTGGAAGAGGGATGGTTTTCTTTTGTATCTTCCTGTACAATTTATTACCCTGCTTTCAGCAGCTGTTCTTGTGCTGATATCAGCATGAGGAAAAAAGTTTTCTTAGTTACACAAAGTTTTGGTTATAAAATTCCTATATTATAAATCAAGGCATTTGTGTAGTTTGTTTTGTGGCTGACTTTTGCTGGCTTTCATTCATATTGAAAAGGATCTTACAACTGGAGTAGTTGTATTGAAATCAGTGAGACTACTGGCAAGATAAAGTAGAGACATAACCAGAAAAGGGATGTTTGTACTAATAGAATCTTACATGAATGATGTTCTGGTAAGTGGTGTGGCATACTGTTGTTTGCCACCTGCTTGACACAAAACAAGTTCTCCTTTGTGACCCCTGTGAGTGGCAAGGGGTAATTTCCACCCAGTGCATTGTGGAAAGATGGTTCATTTCAGTGGCTGCTTGCCTTTTGTAGAGAACAGCACTGTTCTGAGAGTGCAGCCTTGCCAATAATAAAAGCAACCCAAAAATTATGAAATGATGTCATGATCAGAATATTATACTTTCCTGATGAGATGGGCCTGAGTTAATAGCCAGTTCTTCTGTGGTTTTTCGTTTTGAATCTTGCTGTCATTTTGACTCCATCCTAACTCCTCTCAGGGAGACTTTCTTGACTAGTTCAGTCTTGCTTCCTTTTGGAGTGCCTCACTTGGATTAAAAAAACCTGAGGCCTGTGCATTGCTGAAAGCCCACGTGAGCACAGAGAGGTACTAATGCTTTACATTCTATCATGAAGCAAGTATTTGCACCTCTACCTCATTTTCTTGGTTCTCTGATGCTCACATGTTGCAGGGTGACTACCTCTTTCACTTCACTCATCTGCTACCAGCATAGGGTATGCCAGCATCTATCCCAAGCTAATAAACTTAGTTTAGATCCTATTCTGTGTCTCTTTGCTAATGTAGGTGCACATCAGTCTAGCTTCCTATAACACAAGGCTTTTGTTGTCACCATCTGGACCTTCTGGTGTCGGTTACCCAGTCCGACTCGTTTCAGGACTGCTGAGAAGAGTCTTTGTCTTGTGTGTTTCTGCTAATACCAGGCTCCTTTGGTTCCTTACTATGTAGCTCTAGTTTCTAGCTCAGTTTCTCTCTCTCTCTCTCTCTGCACCCCCCCCCCCCCTCTCACTTCTTTTTCAT